CAGCTTTTCTTTAAATAGTTATAATTTTAATTTTTAATAACTTTTTTTTTCTTTTTTTCTTTTGGATTATTGTACTGTTGGTTGGAGAAAACAAAACAAAACAAACACTGTGAAGGTGCCACTTTGGGCTCTGGGTAATTGTGGTGTCATTTCTGACTGTTTTAAGAGATTTTGCAAACCAAACAATCCAATAATCGATTATTGAAGAAAATAATCAGCAGATGAATCCATAATGAAAATAATTATTTGTTGCAGTCCTACAAAATAGTTAAATATCAACTCCACCACAACCAGCTGCATCAGTAAAATGTTGCTAATGATAATAATAAGCTAATGATATAAAATATAATAGTATAACAGTCACAGGGGACATTTTTCTGCATTGAGTACTTTAACTTTTAGTACATTTTCCTCATTATACTTGTCTACTTTTACTGAAGTACCATTTCAACGCTGGAATTTTACATGTAACTGAGTAGCCTATTATTACAGTGTGGCATTAGTACATAATTAATTAGTGCAGTAATTATATACCTCCTCCACCACTGATGTGTGTGTGTGTGTGTTTCAGTATGTCTCTTAGGGATCCACCATATGAACCTCCTTCTGTCTCAGAGCTGCAGGACTTCCTGCTGGCAGACAGAAGACCCACTGGTCATGTCAATCAGGTCTGGCCTAACCTTTACATAGGCAACGAGTAGGTTCACACACAGTAACATACACACATACATCTATATAAACACTTCATACATACAGATGTGAATGTGTGATGGTGTTTCAGGGTGGCGGCTCGTGACAAGGGCACTCTCCACAGTCTGGGAATAACACACATTGTAAATGCTGCTGATGGACGCCCAAACCCCGGCCCCGGACCCTGCTTCTACGTCAACACTGGCCCACGTTTCTACAGAGACATGACAGTAGATTATTATGGGGTGGAGGCTGACGATGCAATGGACTTTATCCTTAGTCCTTTCTTTTACCCAACAGCCCGATACATCAGAGCTGCACTGGCCAAGGGAGGCAAGTCAGTCACGCTTAGATGTTATGTTAATGTGTGACTGGATTTACACTCAGTGTCTATTTTATTAGGTACACCTGTATTTCAATGCAGCTGTTCTTCCATAAAGTGTAATTTCATAATGCCTAATGTTAATTCATTAAATTATATCTTTTAGCTCCCATCTTGTAGTTTGTGATATGTTGTATTGGATCACATTAGATTGTACAGGTGTTCCTAATGAAGTTTTGTATGTATGTATAAAAGGTAACAGCAAATGTCCCTGTCCCAGGACGGGTGTTTGTCCACTGTCTGATGGGTGTGAGCCGCTCTGCAACACTGGTGCTGGCCTTCCTGATGATCGTTGAGGGCCTGAGGCTGCAGGAGGCTGTGGCTGCCGTCAGGCCGCACAGAGACATCTGTCCCAACCCAGGCTTCCTGCAGCAGCTCCGGGGCCTCGACATGAGCCTGGAGAGGGAGAGGAGGAGGCGACGACAGGCACAAACACTGTAAAGACACTCTCAAACTCACAAAGCATCGAGATTTGCACACACATATGCACACAGACACACACACACATTTTTATTGCTGCAGAGGTCACTCAACCCAGGAGGAGGAGATACTATCTCTGACAGAGCTGAGGCAAATTCTCTGGACAAACAGGAAGCCAGTGGCACCTTTCAACCAAGTCTGGCCCAACCTGTATATCGGAGATGAGTGAGTAGAAAACTCACAACCAGCAGCTTGAAATGATGTAAAAGATATTTCAGTAAATCAGTTTGCATGTGGTGTGTGTCTGTAGGTCCGTGGCAAGAGATAAAACCACACTCTCGTCTCTGGGTGTGTCTCACATACTGAATGCTGCAGCAGGTCGACACCGGATCAACACAGGTCAGCAGTTCTACAGTGACCTTGAAGTGGAATACCACGGTGTTGAAGCCGCAGACCATCCGGAGTTTGACCTCCGACCTTTCTTCAACACGGCTGCACAGTTCATAGACAGCGCTCTGAAGAAAAACGGTCAGCGTGCAAATATGACAGCACAATTCATAATGTAAAGAGCGACATAAATTTACTTTTTGAGAGGACAAAAACACATGAATTAAACACACATTGATGTGTTCAGATATTACAGGCTAAGTCTCTGCTTTACTTATGAGTATACTAACTTAAACATGTTAGGAAAATACAGAGAAGCTCATGCAGTCAAATTAATAGTGATAGAGAGATCTGAAAACTTATGACTGCTGATGAATTATATGCAACGCAGTGTCCTCTTCTACTCTTGATTATTATTATTGATATCTTTCAGGAAAGGTGTTTGTCCACTGTGCCATGGGTGTCAGTCGGTCTGGAGCGCTGGTTCTTGCGTATCTGATGATCTGCCAGGGTCTGTCGTTAGCGGAGGCCATCGTCGCTGTGCGTCTGAACAGAGACATTGCACCTAATTCAGGCTTTCTGGAGCAGCTAAGGCAGCTGGAGCTGAGCCTCAGTCTGCAGAGCAGACAGGTCACAGAGGAGGACACATCATGGCGATGAACACATCCCCTTTCACCTTTGTCAGGCACCTGTTTTATTTGAAATGCACATTTTCTGAAATAACAATTAAATCTGGGAAATAAAAAGGTAATCAATGTGTCATTTGTTGCGAGAAAAGCTCAGCCTCATAGATGATCTTTGCCCCAACAATCAATAAAATGTAACAACTGAATGCTTTAAGTTTTACGTCTCCAGAAATAACTCCCTGATCCCCACACCTGTCCGACATTCTTATAATGACAATAATACAACATGCCACTCTTAATAAACTTCTTTCTCTTTTCCTGACATTGTTTCTCTCTCTTGCGTGTTTCTTTACCATACAGGCTAAAGGAAAGTAATCAGTGTCACATTAGAGGACTGTGATCACATTAGATAGACCGTGAGAAACCATGTGTGTGTCTGTGCGTGTGTGTGAGTGTGTGCGTGTGAGACGTTGTTGAGGTCAGGTGTTGTAGACCAGCTGCCTAAAAATATCAACTTAAACACAGAGCCTAAGAGAGCAGTTACCATTCCAGATCTGTATTTTAGCCTTCATGCTTACTGCATTTTGGGAATGTCTCTGTATAATTGACCACACATAACACAACACTCACAATCTTACAGTTCAACACATGTCACTGAGAAAGTTAAGTATGCTGCGTCTGCAGATCCTGCTCAAGAACAGATTTAAAGCTTGAAACACGGAAAAGAGGTAAGTCTTTTTTTTATTCTATCAAAGTACTTTATTGTAACAATCAACCTGTAGAGTAGATAAACAAACTCATCTTCAGCTCTCCTCATCAAGACAGTTTTTACTCCAAACCACTCACTCTGAGGATAAGTGGATTCAACAGTGGTGAAGACTGAAACTGAGATAAACTGTAAGATAAACAAACTGAGAGATTAATAAAGGAAAAGTGAATGGTGATATATGAATATAAAAAAAAAAAAAATTGAAAATGAATCATTTGTAAATTGTGGGATTTGTTGATAAATCCCGTAATAGATTTCTTAAAAAGTGGAATAAATTCACAAATAAATGTAATACATTCCTCATGTTTTATGTTAAATTGAGATGCATAAAGTGTGTGTTGTTTTATTTAGTTATGTATAAATACCTACAAAAAATAAAAATGTATCAATTCATTTATGAATTATTTTTCAAATTAAATATAAGTTAGTGAAATGCATTAAATCCATGTTTATGCATTTGTGCCCTTCATCCGCCAATTATTTGTTTGATCTATAAAATGAAAAAGGCCTGGCACAATTTCTCTTTGTCTTGTTTTGTCGAACTAAGAGTCTAAAATGCAAAAAAAACCCATCAGGCATTCACATTTAAGAAGCAAACTCAAACTAAAAGAATTATAGAAACAGTTGCAAATTAATTTTCTGTTGATCGACTACTTGATTAATTGACTTCTACGTCTGTATTTGAAATATCACTGGTGTTAATATTATATCTACACAGCTTTGGTGCAGATAACAATGTGCATATGTTTTTTAGTTTGTGATTAAGTTGATTAATGTTAGTGTTTTTTTCTTGGTGGCAGAGGTGAGTCATGTCCTCCTGTGTGGTCAAGTCCAGAAGCAGGAACCCGTACACAGCGGTGCGGGTGGACCCAGACAGTGACTACATCACACCGGGCACATTAGACCTGGAGCAGCTGTTCTGGACCGGCACTGGGGCTCAGTATGCACATGTCAACCAAGTCTGGCCCAGTGTCTACATCGGGGATGAGTGAGTAAATGCACACAGAGAGTACAAGAGTTAAAATTCATGATGGCGGCTTCATTATGAGTCTGTGTTACAGGAAAACTGCTCTGGAGTGTCCTGGCCTGAGGGATCTGGGTATTACACATGTCCTTAATGCAGCCGAGGGGAAGTGGAACAATGTGCTGACTGGTGCTGAATACTACAGTGACACGGACATCCAGTACTACGGTGTAGAGGCTGATGACAAACCCACATTCAACATCTCCCAGTACTTCTGCCCTGCAGCCCAGTTCATCCAGGAGGCTCTCAGTCACCCACAGAGTAAGTCAGTCAATGAGGAAATCATTGAGGTTTAGTATATTTCTGATGAACCAGATCTATATTGACTTCATTTTGTTCTAGACAAGGTGCTGGTGCACTGTGTGATGGGTCGGAGCAGGTCAGCAACTCTGGTCTTGGCATACCTGATGATGAAATGCAACTTAACTGTGGTGGATGCTATTGAGCATGTGCGACAGCGCCGCTGCATCCTGCCCAATCACGGCTTCTTGAAACAGCTCAGAGCTCTGGACATCACATTACAGGAGGAGAGGCTGAGACAAAAAAGAGAGATGCAAGATAGATAATGTACCTGTGTTCATCTCAGTTATTCAAAAATGTTCTTTATGTTTATTTAACTATTGTGTCATTAAATTGTGTTTTGTTTTTCACACCAATGTTATGTTGTGTTGTAAAATTGAGGAATGGGGTGCCCTAAAGGCTTTTTTTTAAATCAGCATGGGTCTTCTGGTACTGATGAGCAGTGGTGGAAGAAGTATTCAGATACTTTACTTAAGAAAAAGTAAAAATACTCTCATGAGTAAAATTGCATTAAAAATGTTACTTAAAATATAAGAGTAAAATCAGGAAAATGTACTTAAAGTAAAAGTGCTCAATGCAGAAACATTTATTTGTTTATTATTATTATGACTTGTGCATTAATATAAGCGCAGGATTTTACTCTTGTAGTTTGTTGAGATGTACTGGACTACAACTAATGATCATTTTCATTATAGATAAATCTGCTGATTATTTTCTCCATTAATCAATTGATTGAAATTTGGAAAATAGTGAGAAATGCTGTCACAATTACCCGGAGCCCAAAGTGACACCTTCATAATGCTTGTTTTGTCCAACCAACAGCAAAAAACTCAGTTATTATTAATTACCAATAAAAGCAGTCAATTGACAAATCAGTTAATCAACTAATCACTTTAACTGTACATGTTGATGTTTATTACAAACCATATTTTATAAGATCATGTTTTTTTTTATGCAGAAATCTTAATTTGTAAAGTAAGTTAAATTGTCAATTCAAAATAAATTATTAAAAGCAAAACAAATCTAAAAATGTTAAGTAAAAATACTCAGAAAAATGAATAAGCAATAGGATTAACACTGAATTTTATTTGTGAATTTTAGGCATCATGAGTCTTGCACAGAGATGGGCAACTATCAAGATTTAAAATGAAATGTATAAGGCTTTTTGGCTGAACGTTCAGAACTACTTCCTGCCCGTCAACATGAAAGTTTTGAGGCTATAAATATTTAGAATAGTTGTATTTAAGTATTCAGTGTTGTGCAGACGACAACATGAACTCAAGGTAAATTCATAATGGTTTGAAATGGTTGGCCCCATAACCGTTTGTAGCACTTATACCAAAAATAAATTGGTTTGGAACCTGAAAAGTCGGTTCCCAGCTGGAACCAAAGACTTTGCAGGTGAAGTGTATACTGAAGTGGGCGTGTCATATTCTTCAGGTAGTGCATATTGACATCAACAGAGGAAAGATCAGTTTGAATTCCCTCCTGTATTCCTGACAGAGAAAATTAAAAAATAATATCTTTCCGACAATACCAGCGTATCATTTTACAGATGTTATACGTCCATTTCCACCCCTGCAAGTCACCAGTTGCCCATCACTGGTCTAATCTTGCAAGTTTCCAACTTAAAAACTAAACATTTACAGAGAAAGAAAAGGAAAAAGGCACTCATTACTAAAACCACCTGCCCCAAAAAATGGCGTGAGGAAAAACACAAACTTCCAGTGGTGATGTTGAAGGTAATTTCTGCGTTCACACAATAAAGCGGACATTTAACAGTGATGACAGGACTTAGTGGGCAGAGACATTTAAAAAGTGTGCGCTTAAAAATAAAACATTTGGTTTTTTAACTGGCCTGTTCAATCAAATCTAAACAACTGAAAACTCATCAGGAATAATTAATGTTAAAAAAAATAGTCTAAAACAAATCATTACTGCATATATATTCATATTCAATGCAGTATCCAAAACCTCCCATGACAATAATATTTTATTCTTTAGTCCTGTTTGTGTATAACGTGTCCTCCCATAGTGGAATTAACCTCTTGTGCTTCGGCTTTGTCTCCAAAAAGGGAAGAAACCCTTAAGTTGTCAACACAAGAGCTCGCAGCAGAGTCTGATGGACGTCAGTGCAGCCGGACGATGGCGGCGTCAGAGCCAAAATACATTTAGAAAGAATCCCAAAACAACTGTCCATGAAAACAAGATTTTCCATTTAGATCCCTTATGTAAGGCAAAATTATCACATCCTGTGGTATTATTATTATTATTATTATTCCTCAATGGTCATTTATAGAAACAAATCTTCTCTTGGCTGCACGATCCTCTAGTGCCGCCAAGTGGAGAACACGGAGACAGGCACACATATCAGGAGGCACCAAACTAAATATTGATACAAAAATATGGGCGGATCACATGGACGGATGGCTGATTTAAAAATAAAAAATAAAAAATGGGGCGTAATATTTTTTTGAAAAATTGTATACTGCTGATTAAGTATGAGGTTTCAGACTGAAGGGAAAGGTGTCCAGGAATCCTCAGTTAAAGTCGGGTTTTTCTGGGAAGGTGCAACCTGGTCTTCTGATGATGACGTTGGCGGCGTAGTGTGCCGCCTTCACGCACTGATCCAGTGGCTTCTCCTGGACCAGCTCAGACAGGAAACCTGCAGCACAGAGGGTAAACTTGACCAGGAATCCACAGAAAACACAAGAAAGAGAACAAGCAACCTGGAAACGTATCAGATATAAAACACAGGGAAATCTTACCTCCGACAAAGGCGTCACCTGCACCGATTGTGTCAACAATGTCCTTGGAGTCAATTTTCAATACAGGGAATGTCTCGACCTTGCCTTCTGAACAGAGACAAAAGAAAAAAGATGATATGTATTCAGTATAATATACAGGGAATAAGAGAAAAAGAGAAAATAATAACAAAAAATCTTACCTTGGGCCATCGTAGTTTCATCCTTCCCCTGGGTCAACACTACAATCCTCTGTCTCTTTGTGTTGACTTTGGGCAAAGCCTGGGCTTTCTTGGCAATTTCCTTAATGTCCTTGGTCTACAGACAAAATACACATGAAAAAAAACTGATAAAGCAAAAAATACATGAAAAATGCAGCACTTATCATGTGCAAATTAGTCAGTCAATTCACCTCGAAGTCCTGCTCTTCAGCAAATGTAGCTGCCTCCTGCAGAACCAAAAACAAAGACGTACTAATCATCAACATCTGGTGCACCCAAAGCATTGCAAGCAGGAGCAGTTAATATTATCTAAAGAATGCACTGTGAAAGTCTTACGGTCTCATTGCCGAACAGCACATCGACGTAGGGCATAACCTGCATAAGGTTATCCTTGAAGAACTGGCAGATGAAGGGCGCAGAGAGGTTCAGGCAAAAGAGCTTGTTATTTTCAGACGCATGCTTCGCCACTTTCAGGATGGACTCCAAAGAGACAGTCAGGAAGAAACCCTGGAAGCAAACAGTGACATTGGGTCAAGACCGATCTGCTTTTTATATCTTGATGGGCCTCTAATGAAGTAAGGTCTTGAACAGAAACTCCACCAGTATGTCCGTTTCCTGTGGACCCTCTAGTGGTTAAAAAGGTGAACTGACAGTACATGAGTTGACTTGAACTTTCATTCAACCTTCATTTAAAAAAAAAAAAAAAAGTCCAGTGTGTAGGATTTAGTGGCATCTAGCTGTGTACTCACTTCACCCTCCCTATCCAAGCATGAGGGAGGAATAACAGTGGTGGCAAAACTTGGGAAAAACACAGAAACATGGCAGAACAAAAGGCAGCCGCTGCGTTTGTTGATAAAACAGCTTTAAAAATGTAAGAAAAAGACGACGATTCATATATTCATGTGATTATAAAACATTTATGAATATTATATTCAATTTCTGCCAATAGGTCCTTCTAAATGTTACACTGGACCTGTAACTCTTGAAAAATCATTGAGGGCAGGCTCTCTTTTTAAATAGTGACATGACCATGAAGGCAGCAAAGTTAATGTTGAGTGCATGCCAGTTACATACATACTAAATATTACAAAATAATACATTACAAATAGAACAGGATAAGAGCCAATATTTATACTATACACATTAACAGCAGGGGTTAAATAAACAGAAAATTCAATGTCGTCAAGAGTAAAATGGCACAACAGACTATATAGTTGTTTGGCAGCGACTACTTACAGCAATATAGTAGACTTTAGCTTTTTCCACCAGCTTCCAGTTCTCTTCCAGGTCTAGATGCTTATCCTTCTTGTAACAGTTAGCAGCAGCTAGGTTTGCTACCAGAGACCTGAGAGGAGGAAGCAAAAAAGAGTTATAGTTACAGACGAAACTATAATGAGTCAACTTATTATTCTTATTCTTATTATTATTATCCACCTGTTATCTCCGGTGATGCAAGCAGCACATGACCCTGTGGGCTCTTCATCTTGCTCGTAGTAGTGGGCATCGATGTGGGCCTCCTCAGCCTTCTGCTTCAGGATCTCTCCAAACTTGTCTTTACCGATGCAGCCAAAGAACGTGCCCACATTATGGGGTTCTTGGATCATCCACTACAGACAGTGACAACCGCTGTGATCAGTCGCTAACATTTGGAGATTTTACAGAGCATCGATGTGGTGACTGAGACAGGAAGGTTGTTTGTGTGTACATAACTGACCTGAGCAATTTTTATAGAGTTCTGCGTGGCTCCTCCAGCGTGGTACTCAACTTTGGACTTCTTCACTATCTCCTTAAATCTACACACAGAAACAAACAGGTCACTTAATTCATATATTTCCAAAAAGAAGATTGAATTTCATGCATAAAGTTTGCTCACTTTGGCAAACTTTAGACCTGCAATATCTCTCTTTGTGTTGATGGCTGAGTGCAACAAAAGCAAAGCTCACCACACATAAAGTGTCAAATATGACTGAGTACTGAACATCACACATTTTTTGGGTAGTGAACAAGCTGTGTCTGTTTGGCACTAGAACTTTTAAAAGAATACAAGACAAAAGATACAACATTTTGGAAGATACAAATTTGTTTTCTTGCAGAAGAAACTGAACCTACAGTCAGTAGCTGACTAGTTTTGCTTAAACAAAGAAGAGATAACATTTGATTAGTGAGCTTTATGCGGTGCTAGTTGAATGTTGAACAGAGCCAGGCTAGCTGTTTCTGTTTCCAAACTTTTTGCTAAGCAGAAATGAGCACCACCTGGATGTAGCTTCATATTTTAATTTGAACTCTCGGTTAACCAGTAACGTACTTCCCAAAATGCAAACTATCCCTTTAAATCTTATTTAATTTTTCTTAGATCAGACACATTTAAATGATAAAGTAAAGGGTTTTGCCCGATGAGGTGTGCATTATCAGTGATTAATGGATGACGTGGAGACCAGAACAAGACTCGCTAGATATCGAGCCACGTCATTGTCCCTAAATCAATAAAGATTTTCACGTACAAACGATAGAGCAAGTGTACTGTTAACCACAGCTTGAAGTTGAAGTAGTGAGTTGAATAGCTTGTGTTTCAGTCGCCATCTTGTGGTGCTCAGTGGGTGAGGCACTGAAGGTCGACAGTGTTGTGAGCTATATTTATGAGTTTTACTCGACTACTAGTTGGTGTCCTACATCAGGAATTACTGGACACCCTGCAGCCAATCATAATAAAAAAGTATTCACTTAGACCTTGGTATAATTGTATATAAACAACTTTTAAAACTTCACAGATGTAGTGTTTAACATAAGGATGTTGTATTGGTTTACATGACATTGCATAGCTGTTGCTTCTGTGTCCACTCCTGAGGTGTGCACAGTGATTGATTTGGCTCGACGGCCAGTAACCTAATCTGGTATTGGACTGTAATCTCTGCAGAAGCAACATTTCCTCCAGGTAAAAACGTGCAATGCATGCATGACTGATCACCGATAACACTATTTGAACCATTTACGCCTGTTATGTAACTGAGGCAGCGCTTTGATATTTCACCTAAGGCTGAAGCATCTCTAATTTGTCCTGTTACACAGTCTAAAAATAGCAGCCGTATCAACCTACATAAAGATATGTGTTTGTGTGGGTTATGTGAGCACTAGAGACACTGTGTTCAGTGGAACATATAACAGGCCGACTGCTGTTCAAAGAGCCTGAGACTGAGCCAGAGGTTGCAGAGGGGGAGACCTCTGGGAAATGGGGAGAAAAATGGAGTTGGGGTGCCTGTCTATTGTATAAATTCTCTAATTTTTCTTTCTTTATCGCTTAGTCTGTTGGTGGAAATCTCCACCATAAAACTAGAGAGGCCTGAGTGGGCTCAGAACAAACAAGAACAAGGTTGACGGGTTAAAACATGTGTGGACCTGCTCCTTCATACTGTACGTGCTAGGTCACCAATAGCTCTCGTATTAATCAACCCTCTACCCACTGAGCTCCTGACAACATTGTCATCTCTGAAATTGAGAAATACGAGTCAAATCTCTCCTAATAATATACAGTATAGAGAGGTCATTGTCTTTAATGATTGCATAAATGAATCAAATGTCATTAATCCTCAAAAACAAAAAAAGAACACATGAATATAATCCTGTCACACACACAACTTTCTTATCTCCTGCTGTTAAATGTTTGCTTTCTGGCTGTTGTCTCAGAGGGAGGTGAAGTATCCTGGCTTGCTATTGGCTGAGAGTGGCTCACTGTGCTGGATCTGCTGCCCTGCCATTGGCCATCTCTAAAGGAACGGAGGTCAGTCGTGGTGATTTGATTCTAGAGTGCGCCTGTTTTGACTGGCCTGCTCCAGGACAGAGAGGACCAAACTTGGTAAGAATTGAGACGTATTCATTCTCTACAGACTACAAACCCTGCTGGTGCAAGAGCTCTACCACAACCTATATTCTACAGAAAATGTTGCAATGTGAGAAATACGAACAGTGCTTTGTGTTTGTCCTCTGCCAGGATCTGGTCGTTGGGTTTCAGAGTGTACCTGCAAATATTTAAAAAGGAGAAAAGAGGCATTAGTTTCTCCAAGTGATTGGAAACACATGCTGTTTTTACCCATTAAAAGAAACTGGCACTATTTTATAGCATACACAACCACCACACATTTGTGAATGGAATAAAAAAACACAAAATAATTATCGGGATTATCTTTATGTAGATAAGCATTGCACACGGTGGAGGTGTTGCCCAACTGGTTGTTTACTCTTATAGAAAATGTGATTAACAATATCAATCAGCCTTGTAATCATAGACGGAGGCTTTGAGAAAACTCTGAAAATTGCCTTTGTTGCTACCACTCAGCCCAAATCAATATGTTCAATCAATAATGCAAAACAGAGTGTGAGGCAAAGGTAGGTTGGGGATTAAGGTGCCGTTTTAGTCCTGCTTTACTGTATGTGAGGCTGAATTAGAACTGTGGCTGGTTTAGCTCTAATCCTGGAGTTTACGCAAGGGGTTTGAGAGTGGACTCTGAGCTGGACTGTTTGCCCTGGTCAGTGTGACAGAGCCTGGACAGAACAGAAAACTGCTAGTCTGGGCTGAAATAAACAGTTAAAAAAAAATAAATAAATCTCTTAATTATTACAGCACAATTAAGGATCAGTGCTTTTGCAGGAGCCCCATAAGCTTCATATTAAAGAGGTAAATTTTTCTGTGCTATGCTAACTGCATGTAAGGCATACCTGACATAACTACATTGATAAATGATCATTAATGTGGACATGCTGACGAAACAGGGAGTGGCAGTGGTTGTTTCACTCAGCAGTCCACCTCACTATGCTACAGGATACATTAAAGCACATACAGCTCTGCGGGCTGTGCTCTCTTGTATCGTCATTATCTTGTATCTCCCTTGATCAAATTACATTATAAAACCTCTCTCTCCCCCCCTCTCTCTCTCATGGTCAGCCCGTCACTCGGGTGACCTCACACACAACAAATGTCTATATCTCACTTGATCTGGCTGTGACTGATTTATTTACAGCAGCAAAAAGATGGATTTTACAACCACTTTAAAAATGTCTAAGGCAATTAACAGTGCAGACAACAACCACTGATGGCAGTACTTTATTTAGGTGGCAAGAATTTTATAATTTATTTTTTATTTTTATTTATTTTATTTATATCGTCAGTCCTTTGAACTCACTTGTCCAAGAAGTCTTTGTCCACTACAGCAGAGATGTCCAGTAAGGGGTTTCCCATCCCAAAGAGTGAATTAGTGCTGAAACATAAAGACTTAAAGTTAAAACATAAAACACACAGCTCTACAAGGCTTTAATGTGGCTGTTCTTCTTTACCTCAATGTAACAGTATTTTCTTTTTTTACATGAACTCAACTGGAATGACAGTAATAAGGGAAACGTCTTGCAGGGTTCATATCGTCTTTTCTTTCTGAAGCTGCTTTTAATAGTGAAACTGGATTTGAGTCATAGCTTTAGACCGGTTGGTTGATGCAATAAAAGAGCAGAGAGCCCTCAGTTCAGCACAAGAAGAAAGGCACATTTTAATCGACTTAAAAATTCACGTTTGCTCACTCTACCTCGTGCACCGAGTACCCCCAGTTTGGTTCTCATGTGACTTCAAACACATGACTTAAAAGCCTCAGTATGAAAAGCAGAAATAACACGTCTAAGAGATTTAGTTTGGAAACATGCGGGACATAAACATTAAAAAAGGAGAATATGAATACAGCTGGCATTGATGACGCAGTCCGTCACGCATGTAACCATGATGTTATGACATTCACAGCAAGGCAACATCAGGACAGCAGTAGGCTGTGTGCGTCTGTGCAGTCCGTTCTTTCCTGGAGCAAATAATTGAACACAGGGTTTGAATATCATCGCAAATCATGGTCTTATGATGCCAAAACACATTCTTTTTCAACACTTCGACCACTGTGGCTCAACAAAATGAGACAGTGACTTAAAAGGCACCTCTGTGCTTTGTGTCAATGCATAACAACCCCACTGGAACTCACCCTAGACATCAGTAACCAATTACATCTAGTGGGTTAGTCTGTAACTTTTTTCTTTTCTGTAACCAAATACTGAATGATCTGTGCAGAATACTGCAAAAGCACCAAGAGATTCTGGCAGCATGTTAATAGAAGGCGTAGCTCTGAGTCTCGGTGTCCTCTTCACTCTTGCATTATAGTGTGGCTCTTGATGTCACCGCAATCTTGCCAGTGTTTCTGGGAAAACCCCAGATGGAAGAGAGTCTCTGAACACGGCCCCTGACAGATGTCACCTCCACATGAACATGTGCTTGCATATATTTTTCCTCCCCATCAAGCCTCTCTTTTCTACGCTCGCCCGAGGAGAATATTTAATAAAAAGCAAAAAAGCAGCAACACGGAAGAACGGCTTTGGACAAAGCAAAGAGCAGGGAGGCGTCATTATGCAGCAGTAACTTATGCTACCCAGATGGGATCTTGGCACTGAAAATCCAAGCAGATGCCACACCCTTACTATTATTTCCTATATCTTAAAGCCTAAATGCAGTCTGGTGATTAGTGGGCTTATACAGCCAATTACACTAAACCAGTGCCTGCCTTTATATTCATTCTCTTAACAAAAATGTCAACGCGTCTTACCTTGCAGAAGACATGGTGCCCCTCTCTCTCTCTCTGTGTACGGCTAGATAGTGACAAACCTGTTGAGCAACCTAAAAACCGGCTCACAAAGAGCTAAGCATTGAAAAACTTCACAATTTCAGCACAGCGTGCGGGCAGATCGATTTTCCCCCTGCACAGCTCCTCCTACTGGGCTCTGAGCGATTGGAGGCATCTGAAGCAGATCTACAGGAGGAAGGGCCAGGAGA